ATGGCGTGGCAGACCTCTCCTGACACGCCCGCTGCTCCCCTCAGCAGTGTACTTCGTGGATCTGCCTGTTCTGCTCCCCGCTCTGTCTCTGGTGAATCCTATCACCCTCCACATCTCTGGCCTGTACCCCAATTCTGTATGAATAAAAAAATAAATCTTAAAAAAATATATATAAAAATTTTCTACTGGTGGGGGGGAAGTACAGTACATGCCCCAAATCCATTGTTCAAGGGGACAGCTGTCTTGCCATATGTAGTTGCAGGCTTAATCAGGCAAATCTCTTATATTGTGTGATAAAGCTGAGGGTATTTTGATAAAAACACTACACAGGGAAGCCATTTATGTAATATATAATGAGATTGTAACAGGTACAGGTTACATAGACTCGGCCCCTGCTCCAGATACTGGAACTACAAATCCCATCAATAACAAGCAGCATGCTGGGACATGAGGGTGGAGCTGAGCAGCCAGGTTGGGATAAAAGCGGACATGTGGGTTCCAGGGGTCTCTTGGCCTGGTGGTTTGCAGCTGGTGGTTTGGCTCTCGGTTTTCAGCGTGCCGGTGGAGTCTGTCAGCAGAACTGGTAGGACATTCTAGTTAACTTGTATTTCTCTCCCTCTTTCCCTGGGTGTCCTTTACCGTTCTCCTTGTAAATAAATCCATTATCGAACCCTTTTGCTGTGTGTCGGAGACCAGCTCCAACTTTTGAGGTGTCTGGAGGCAACACAGGCAGGACCCTAAGATGGGAAGGCGTTGGCTTGCGGAGATTCCAAGAGGGGGAGAGGAGCGGGTGCGAGGAAGACAAGGGAGTCGGAGTTGGGTGCAAATCTTCCTGCTCTGCCTTAAGCAGAGGTTTATTTTATACATTTCCAGCAGGCAGGGGGATGGCATTAGCATACGAAAGGGGTTAAGATCACAATTACCTTTTTTCTAAGAAAATGGTCTGGGGTCGCAGGAAGAGGAAGTGTCTTGCTAATCAAGAAACTCACTAAAAGGTTTTAAGTAAGTTTCCTACTTTGAAGAAACTTGCTAAAAGGTTTGAAGTAAGTTTCCTTGAGGTCCACACAGTAGAAAGTGTAATTTGCTCTAAATAGGAGACATGGGTGAATTTCCTTATCTAAAGACTAGGTAGGAGAATCCTGAAAGACTAGCCAGGAAGACTTTTGTGGATTGCTTTGAAGTGTAGCAGGTAAAAAACTTGACTAGCTTTAAAACAGGCAACCTGGATGAATTTCCATATCTAAAGCCAGACAGTAGAAGTTTGAGTAATTCTGTAGAAGCTGAATAGGAGGCTAGGTGAGATAGTAGAATAAGATTTGGGTTTTCCTCATCCGGCAGTGAGAGACTTTGCAGAAACAGCCCTTTTGCTTTTATTGATCAGCCTATTGTTAAGTCACTTTTGACTTCAGAGGAATTTCTCACCCTGGTGCAGTGCTTGCTTGTCAGGGCAGGCAGGCCTTATGCAGCTGAGGCAATCCAATTGTAGGCTGAAAGTTGCTCAGAATATTTTGATATTACGATTATACAAAAAAGGGAGGCCATAACACAAGTTAGCATGGAAAGTCTGATCTTTCAGAGCTTTTCCCGAGCTACCCGGAATCTGTCAGACGATAGCCGTCGCATAGCTTGTGTCAGCTGTGTCCATAATATGATTAAATCTTAAGTGTGTGGGTGAGGACCCATAAACAGGCAACCCAATTCACATTGGGGTGCCCTGTAACAAGATTATATGGGGGATTCCCTGGTGGCTCAAGGGTTTGTTAAAGCACAGCATTATAAAGCTATCCACAGTCATTGCAGCATGAGTTTGATCCCTGGGCAGGCAGGTGACCCACAGAATCTTCATGCTAACTTACATTAGGACCTCCTTATTTTCTATAATCATAGTATCAAAATATTCTGAGCAACCATCAGTTTACAATTGGATTGCCTTAGCCTCGTAAGGCACTGCCTGGCCCAAGCAAGCAGGTGCAGCCCCAGGGCGAGAAATTCCTCTTGAAGTCAAAAGGAATTTTACAATTGCTGATTAATAAAAGCAATTGGCTGTTATGGCAAAATCAGTATTGTAAAACAAGGCAGTACTAGAACGTGTTAAAAAATAACCAGAGCTCTTTTACTGCCTGGACAAGAACCCAAGTCCCATCACTCTATCTTACTTAAGCTTTCTATTGTTTAGTCTTTAAATGAGGAACTTATATATCTCATTTGTGGTTGATTTACAAGAAAACTTCTCCACCTTAGCCCTCGACTTTACCTCTTTCACCTATAGTATGTCTCAATGAGAATGAAGGTCATTAAATAATAATTAGGGTTAAAGGGACTTTATTTTAGCTAATCATCACTGTGATATAGCAATGTTAGTCTTAAATTTTATGAATTTATGTACGTATTTTAACTTCAGATTGATTTTAAGAATAATGTTATCTCAGCTGAAGGTCAATACACCCCAAACTGTTCTTAGAAAAGAGATGATTATGATTTCCCAGCTTAATTCATATGCTAATGTCACTCCACTGCTTAGCTGTAATGTATAAAGTTCTGCTGAGACCAGAGCAGGAAGACCTACACCCAACTCCTACTCCTGTGTCTTCCTTACATCCACTTCCCTTTCCCCCTTCAAGGAATCTCAGCTCACTGATGCTCACCTTATGACCCTACCTTTTCTGCCCTCTGATTGAGGCCGGTCCCTGACAATGGTGTTGCAGACCTCTCCTGCCTTGTCCACTGCTCCTCAGCAGTGTTTCTCACTCATCCTGCCGGTACTTGTCTCTGGTGAATCCTTTCACTCCCTTTCCCCAGTTCTTGTATGCATAAATAAATGTCTTTAAAAAAAAAAAAAGGGATTATATGAAGTGAAGTCACTCCTTGAACTATCAATACATTCTAACTGGAGATTATAAATTATGATGTATTTTAAGTTTCAGGTGAAAGAAAAAAAGATTCACACAGTTATACACAAGGATGATTTTAATCCTGCATTTTCTTGCAGTAGCATCCACTGCTGGTTGTGTATGGATGAGACTGCATTTGCCAAGAACTGTGAACATCAAGAATCTTTACACAAAGCCACATGTGTTGGTACAGGCACAGAGATCTCCCAGCACCCACAGCATACAGACATAACACATACCGAATGGTTTTGGATAAATTTGCTTCACTGGATAATTGTTTTAGTAAAAGTCACAGTTAATGCAGATTTTCATTTTAATTCAATTCTTTATTACATATTTTTTCTTAAATTTTATTTAAAAAAAAAAACACTCATTCAGGGTTGTAATTCCATGGCAATAAACTGGATTCTACACTTCCTAAAGGCATATATTGATAGCAATTTAAAATACCATGAGTAGTTTTTTCAATTTGTAATGCCTGATGGAAGACCTTTATAAAAACCAAACTTAAATTTATTTAGTGCATTTATTATAATTCACTATTACCATGTCCCTTGTGAGAAAATCATGTTTCAAATGTTATTTCCTAAACTATTGAACATGGGTGTATATACTATTTCAATTGACTCATAATTTATAGCTAGAATAAGGATTCAACCTTTCTGAATATTCTTCCATTCAAAACAATGATAGCAATCCTGGTTGTTTCTCTAGGATAATATCAAAGAAGTGGCTTACTGGGTCCAACAGTGCAGATGGTTTAAGGCTTTTAATATACCTTAACAATCTTCAGAATAGCTGAACAACTCCTACTAGCAGGATGTTGTTTTGTCCACAAAGTGGACTTGGTTGGTAACAATGAAGCAAATTGAACCACAAACCTATAAGATACTCAAACATCTCAAAACTACACCAAAGCAGCAAGAGAGACAATTATGACTGGTGCTGAAGCCAAATCCAAATTCTTTAAATATCACTCAGCTTAATCGTGATTTGATTGAATCACGATTATTTTAAAATAATCAAAAGGAAAAGCTTTCCACAAAGTCTACAGTGTTTTTCCAAAAATAAAAAGTTAAAAAGAGAGAAAAAGTCAGTACCAAATGACCAAAATTTTTTATTTGACTAATTTCTATCTCATGCATAAGCATGACAGTCTCCCCTGTTTATTAGACTTTGGCAATAAAAAAAACAAGCAGCCTTGTACAGAACAGGGAAAATGCCAAGGGCGAGGGTAGTCCACAGTTTTACTGTAGGATAAATATATATTTTTAAAAGGCCTCTCTCTCCCTTTGGCCATATTAACTCTCAGTTCAGATTATTAAATACAGACAAATTTTCAATGTCATTTCTTCACTTCTCCAAGGTCTTCAATGCTATCATCATCAACCTGTAAAACACAAATAATTACATTTCATGAATTGTGCTATCAAATAATATGAAACAGCCTGCTGAAAACACTTATTTACACACCCTTCCCCCCACCCCAATAGGCTCAACATACTCACCTCTGGCCATTTTTCCTGAATGACATCGATGATGTCATCTGTAAAGTCTCCCTGAATGATGATCTCATCCTCCCCTGTTACTGAGGCACCACAGGAGAATCTCTGAGCAAAAAATCTTTGTGCTTCTTTAAGATCAATTTCTGTTATTTAAAAAAAAAAACAAAAAACAAAACAGCAACACTGTAATCAGAATCACACCTTGAAGGTATTTTTCCATTTTGAAATTTAATCTATATTTTAAATTCATAAAGTAGAACACATTAAGGGGCTTTATCTCCCCCTTTAGAAGAGTAATTACAAACTACCAGAGGCAGTGCTCTGAACTATTCAACTTTTATCACTGTTAGGTCAGAGAAAGACGCAATTCATAAAAGTAGGCATCCAGGCTATTTTTATCTTGCAGAGTAAGACCAAGCCCAAACTAGCAATGCATTAATTTCTAACTACATATACATATCTAAGCATCCTTTTTTTACAGAAGAAAAATCTTCAGCGAAGAAACAAGCCTTATATTTATAAGTTAATCAGTGACTGGTTTCTAATCTTGTCAGGTGAGGGGATCCTGGGTTACAATATTCACCCCAGTTGCACTCAAAGCCTCCAGGAACTGAGGGGGCTCTGAAGTAGGCTACCCACCTTCTTTCATTCTATTGTCATTCCCAGAGGGGATGGACCACACTGCAGGCCTTGTAAGTGGCACTGGCGGCTTCAGTGGGACCCATCCTTCTCTTCTAGCCCGCCTCTACATAAAATATGCTCAAGCAGGAATACTTGAAAGGAAGAGTTAAACTCTGCAAGATTTTGAAATTTCTTCAAAACTCAATTTGGAATCGAGTTAGAAATGCAAAACCTCATTTTATATCTTCTTAGCAAAAACTGAGCCCCTAAAATTTTCATGATACCACATTAAAGAAAGAGAATATAGTTTACACATTTTAAACACAATGAAGCTCAAACGCACCAAAAGTTGCAAGGCCACATACTCTCGTTACGTATTTCTTCTTTGCTCTGGGAATTTTGGCTATTGTAACCTTTTGTGGTACAGTCTTCTTTTTTTGTTTTATTTGACCCCTTCCACCTTTAAAGAGAGCAGCATTAACCATTTCATCTTAAATATAGAGAATACTAAGTTTTTAAATTTGTTAATTTTCAAAAGGTGGCAACTATTCATGTCTAAAGTTCTTTTCTAAAACAAAACTAATAAGCACACTAATGAGTATTCACTCAATGAACATTTATTAAGTACCTGTCAAGCAAAGCACAAAGGGCTGAGCATACACAGATGGACAGAAAATAGTCCCTATCCTTCAAGAACTCAGCGCAGTGAAGGGAGAGTTAACTACAGCAGTCAGACACCACACACACACACTCTGCTCTCTCTCTCTCTCTCACACACCCACCCACACCCACACCCACAGTACCACTGAAGTTAGGCATTACAAGATAAAGAATTGCCCAAGTGAAAGGAGAAGGACTGGAGAGTATAAGGAAGAACATGCCGGGAAAGGGAACAGAAAGAAAAGGCAGCATCGTGTCTGACAACTGTTTGGATGATGGATAACTATGGCTATAAGGCAGACGAGGCCAGAAGAGCCAAAGCTCACACATCAGTCACTGACATGCCACTGATCAAGCTCTAGAGCCTGACTTGATGTGGAAGAGGAGTCACTGGATGGCTATGTGGAAACTCACTCCACAGCATGGGCACATCTTTGATGAGTGAGGCTAACAGACCACTCAGGAACCGGCACCATCAGTGCCAGTTTCCAACAGAAATTAATTAAACCCCAAAGCAGTGGCAAGAGTAATGGCCACTAAGCACAGGACAGAGAAAGGAGGAGAAATAACACAATTTAGAACTGATTAAAAGGGGCATAGAGAGTGTGCCTAGGATGGGTGTCAGGTTTCAGATTATAGGTGACTGGATAAAATGTGTTTTCAATAACCAAATGGGGCAAATGAAAGACTTAGTACATTTAGGAAATGCTGCATTTGAGGTACCTGTGGGTCACGCACACTTTTGGTCTAAACAAAGGCTAGGTTTAGAGATACAGATTTGGGAAGTGCAGCATAAGTGGAAGAATCTTTCAAGGAGAACAGCACAATGAGAAGGTAAGGAGGACAGGACCCTTTGAAACACCCATAATAATTCAATGAACATGGGAGAAATGAGAGGAGAACTAGGAAGGGCGAAAGCCTGACTCTTCAAGCAGGAAGTGCTCATATGCTCTCACTATTCAGCACAACGAGCCATGGGTAACACATACTGAGGTGTTTTGGTGGTGTGAACGTGAGATCAGGATAAACTGAGGAGTGTACAGTGAACAGAAGAGAAAGAGAAGCCTAGTCTTATCGAAGGATCCAGCTAAGAGGGAAGAGAAGGGATGAGGCAAATACTTGGGTTCGGGTCTGCCCTGGTGTTGCCAGGGTTTTTAAAGCCCAACACTGCCAAGCTAGCCACGTTGGCATCCACTTCAGTATGAGTTCAATCCCCAGCCAGGGAGGTGACCCACATGGTGACCCAGACCTCTCCTGTCTCACTCACTGCTCCCCTCAGCAGTGTTACTTCACTGATCTACCTGTTTTGTTCCCCACTCTGTCTCTGGTGAATCCTCTCACTGCCTCTGCACCTCTGGCCTATGCCCCAGTTCTGTATGAATAAATTAATTTAAAAAAAAAAAAGGAAAGAAAAACGGGCTCTTGAGAGAATTCGTTTTTTAAAGGTGCAAAACTCTGAAAACATAAGGTAATTCTAGTCATAGGGAAAATAATTTTTAAAAAAGGTTTATTTATTTATGCTTACAAGAACTGGGGTACAGGCCAGAGGTGCAGGGGTGAGAGGATCCATCAGAGACAGAGTGGAGAACAGAACAGGTGGATCAAGTGAAATACACTGCTAAGGGAAGCAGAGGGCGGGTCAGGAGAGGTCTGCCATGCAATGTAGGTCACCTCCCTGGCCAGGGATCAAACTTGAACTGCAGTGGCTGTCAACAGCTTCATAGTGCCGTGCTTTAACCTGTTGTACCATTAGGGAGGGCCCCATAAGGAAAATAATTAATGAAGAAATAAGTGGGGAGAGAACCCACAGTATGAGAAGTTAGTTTTAGAAGAGGAAATGGAAAGATATATGCAGCAGCTATTTAAAAAAACAATACAGTTGAGTCAGATGTAATGAGAGAATAGAATCTTTTATAAACGCCCTCATTCTAAACAAATACACAGGTATTTTAATAAAGTAACAAAGCTTCGAAGTCATAAGCTGGCTGGCTGTTTTTTACATATGCACAGGACAAGTAAGATTGTGTTCTTAGGTCCAAATTCCTGATTCCTCAAGCAAATCTACAGCCCCTACCGAACCCTGAGAACCTTGTACATAAGGGCAACCCAGGGGCAGGGGCTGTCCACCTGGGAGTGCTGGTCACCTTTGCTCTCAGAGGGAAGGTATGTTTGTTGAAACCACATCAAGGATATAGAGCTCACCTCTCTTCTGTTTTTTCTTCTCTTCTTCTTCCCCTGCGGTTCCTTGACCCTCACTAATTCCAGCTTCTTGTCTGGGTGAATTTTCTAGATATAAAGTGGAAAGACAAAAGCATTAACAATTTCATACTAACATTGAAAAAACAAAACAAAACACTGAGCCCTCCCTGGTGGTACAATGGGTTAAGGCGCAGCACTAAGAGACTGGATATAGCCAGTGCAGCACAAGTTCAATCCCCCACCAAGGAGGTAAACCTGGCACAGATCTCTCCTCCCTCGCCCACTGCTCCCCTCAGCAGTGTACTTCATCAATCTACATGTTCTGCTCCCCACTCTGTCTCCTCTGATGAATCTTCTCACCCCTGCATCTCTGGCCTGTATCCCAGTTCTGTATGCATAAATAAATCTTTAAACACTGGGCAACCTTAATGAGGCAATTTACCCACAACTGAACATGTCCTTTATTAAGGTAAATGATTTATATCGCTACCTTCCTACTGGTCTAATTCTGAAGCCATTATGGTGAATGTATGATGATAGCAGGCAACACAAAGTCTTCATATGTGAGGATTAGGACTTTACAGTCACATGTACAGAGCAAATATCATGTGTCACATTTAATATCTGAAAGGCCACCCAGGCGCCACACCCAGGCCCCCAGAGTGGCAAAAGTTTCCGGTATCAAGATGACCTGGCTGAACTGGCATCAGGATGCTACCCCCAGGATGCCACTCCTGCCCCCAGGTAGCCTCTCTGATAAGGATCAAAGACCTGAACAAATGGCAACTGCTGACCAAAAGGGCTCACTGTTACTTTTCTACTACCTGCTCAGGCCCAACAGAACAGGGCACATAAAAGACCCCAAGCCTGTTCACTGTGTGCGACTTCCCAGGCCCCCACTGGGGCCTCTGAACCTTGCCCAGGAGTGCAATAAAGCCTTCCCCTCTCTTATTTCTGTTCCCTTGCCTTGTTCTGTCCACTGGACCTTACAATATCCAAGCACAAATCTTGTTAACAGGAATTTGGGTCCTGAATAAAGAGCTTCCTTTTCTCCTAAGTCACACCCACACCTTAGATTGGTCACAGTGAGCTCCAGCAAAGCAGACTGACCTCAATACCAGGTGGAAGGTTCCTGCCCAACCACTGATAACAGAAAGTGACAGTGTAGGTGTGATACAAAAAAACTATCCAAGTTTTGAGGTTTGAGCCTCATGGAAGAAATCTAAAAAAATCAGGTAGCACATGGCAGCACAGCTGCTAGATATGTTCCCAGACCAGACTTTCTCTTCCTTCTGCCTCTGCCTTCATTTTTACCAGTTTTAGCAAGTTGAGGACATCTGTTCTTTTGTCGTCTTTCTCACCTTTGACAGCTATTCCATTCTTTTAGCTGTTTGGGCCCAAATCCCCAAAGCCCTTTTTCTCACACCTAACATTAGAAAACCCTGCAAGTTCTTCCTTTACAACACCCAAAACCTCACCACTTCTCTGTACCTCCACTACTACCCTCTGGCCCAAGCCGCTGTCACCTCCTGATGGCTTCTTGCAGTCTCCTACCCGGTTGTCCCTGCTGGACTGTCCAGGAGTTCTGTCAGTCTATTCTCCACACAGCAGCCAAAGAGACACCATTAAAACAAAACAAGTCAGACCATCTTTGTCTTCTGCTCACGGCCCCCCAAGAGCTCCTCAAGATGTGCTCTTCTTCCAATACTTCTCTGGCCTCATCTCCTACCCTCCTCCCCATTCTCAGATCTGCTCCAGACACAAACATCTCCTTGCTGTTTCCAGAATATGCTAGGTGAGATTTTGCCTAAGGGACTTTGTACATGTCTAGAATGTACTAGAAATCCAAATGACTTACTCCCTTATTTATTCAAAGGCCATTCCCCTCAGGCCCCCAGCAAAATCATTCCTAGCCCCAACACTAATTTAACACACTTTGCTCAGTGATTTGTCTCTCCTTCAAGAACATCATTTCCAAAGAGTAGATCTTCTGTTTACTGCTTTAACCTCAGTACCTAAAGCAGTGTGCAGCATACGGTATGCTTACAATAACTTGTTGAATGAGTGAAAATATATCTGTCCCTCAGTCATTTATTCTTTATATAAGAAAGGTGATACTTTGAAAACAGTGTATGATTTAATATTAAGGAATTTTAAACCCAAGAACTTAAAGAAGTAATATCCTACTAACAGAAGACCGTTTCCATGTCTTTCAGATGCCTTGTATGCATTTGTCTCCTGTACACAAGTTTTGAAGAAAGAAAAAATTGTTGTTCTTACCTACAGTAAGCTTTGCAAACTCATTTGGAAAATTCTTCTCTAACCATTGTCTACATTTAGCAACATCAGGCATATATTCACAGTACTGGAGGTGAAAGGAAAAAAATGACAGAACATTTTCAATCAACCAATACATTATTTATTTAAACATCATTCCCTTATTATATAAAGAATGATAAAGTTAACTACTGCTACCTGATATCTTAGTCACAGGAAAACTATATTCAACCAGGAAACATCCCAGAAGCTAGATTAAATTAAAAAGGACTGCGTACCTTCTGTCACTGACTTCCTCTCTCAAACAGAAGGAGCATTACAAACAACAAAATGTCTGTGTTTTGCTTTGGGCACACAGTGGTGTCATTATTTTTGTGACTTGTCCACAGAGCCTGACTTAGAAGCTTACTAACAGAAAAATTCACCCATAATTTAATTTATGCTTTTTCTCCTCTGCTCACATGTGTACAGATGTGAGCTTTAAGGTTACTCTTGTTTTACCAGGATCTCATGCAAAATCCTAACTGCAAAGCCAAGTACAAAAGATGCAGTTAGACAAGTGATTCAAAGTTTAAAGAAATAAAATTATTGTAAACTGAAGTTTTCTACAAAAGTCTAAAGCTTCTAGCAAATGAGAGAATATGATGAATAAGAAAGTTGTCAAGCAAGCTTTAAAATCAATGACCCAAAGTGCAGAAGTTGAAAAAGGGCAAAGAATTTTTGTAAGGACTTACCTCTGTTGGTAATGAACAGACTGGGGCAATGGAGAAGGAAAAAAAAAAGACATGAAGGTTAAATATACATACACACAGGGCTCACCATAAATTTTATTTTATACTTGAAAAAATGTTTAATTTCTACTGAAAACTTTTCTGTACCATTTTCCAAAGGGTATCCATCATAATCCTCCCACGCCTTTTAAGGTAAGACACATGGTTGCCAGATATTTTGATTTTTTTTAATGTAAAGAATGTCTCCTTCAATTGATGGAATGGCCAGGGAGGTGACCCAAATGGCATGGCAGCCTACTCCCTGACCAGCCCACTGCTCCTCTTGCAGTGTATTTCAGTCAGTCTGCTTGTTCTGCTCCCCACTGTATCTGGTGAATTCTCTCACCTCCATCCCTCTAGTTTATACCCCAGTTCTTGTATGCATAAATAAATAAGTCTTAAAAAAAAAAAAAAAAACAAACAAAAAACTAGCAGACAGCTTTCCAGCTCCACTTCAGGATATAATTATAGGTTAGATACCATGAGAGCAAATACTAAAACTTCATACATCTTTTCAAGTAATAGGTCAGCAAAATTCTAATACAATGAAAAAATATCTAGACAACTCTTCCAAGTTATTTTTTTTTAAAGTCAAATTCCCTCCACAAATCACTTACTATTTGCAAAGAGTTTTTTAACACAGAAATCTACAGCAATCCCTGTGGAAAAATCTGGCGTGTATCTGCTGCTGTTACAATATGAAGAACAAAGTAACATCATCCATAAAATCTGCCTGAATGTGTGTGTCTCCTCAAAGATCATTATGTGCTCGAGGTAGGAGACTCTGGGAGGGGTTTTAGCCATGAAGTTCAAGACCTAATGAACGGGATTATAAAATGTTCCTTTAAGAGATACCATAACTCCCAAGCCCCTTCCACCACTGTGGACACAACAGATTGCTCTCTCTGACCTAGTCACATACACTCTGCAGTGGCATGACCTTGGACTTGAGCCTCTACAACTGTTGTCTACAAATTATCCAATGTATGGTATTTTGCTATAATTACGGTAGCTACTTGCCAAAAAATGTTTAGCTCAAATCTAATAAAATCTCTAGAACTAATTTTAAATTAATGAAGAAAACATACCATAAAAACAGTACTAATCAGGATTACAGGATATTTCTAAAGATATTTAACATATCATCTTTAAAAAGCGGGAAGCTCCAGATCAAATCAAGTAAAGAGATACACCCATGAAAACAGTTTACCTCTCTTGACTAAATTTTGGCTAAAGAAAAAAGGGGCTATGAAAGATATTCTTAAGTAAACAGAGAAAATCTGACATGGCCCATGATCAGATGATCCTATAGAAGGTGATCAGATAGAAAAGAGCCTATTTGGAGATGCACACTGAAATGTTTAGGAATTGGTTTGCAACTTATTTTGCAAGAATGTAACAAAAACAAAACTTATATAGGGTTGTCTTAAGTCATGATATAGGAAAAAAATTTTTTTCAAGAAAAAATGAGTCATGAGTTTTCCAACAGCCTAATGGTTTTGGAAAGGGAGATAAAATAATGTTAAATCTTTCATCCAAACCTTGTTTTTTTAAATCATAGTTCATTATTCCTTAGAGAAATGGCCAATACCAGGGTGTGGACAGGGAAAGAAGATGAGGCTGACACATATTTTGGAACCAAAAGTAAAAGTTATTCAAGGAATGATTCAGGGACATGTCAAAGGATACATGAGTGAGCCAAAGGGGCTTTCTTCCTCTCCCCCCCCAAGGATTTATTTATTTATGCATGAAAGAGCTTGGGTCTTGTATAGGCCAGAGGTGTGAGGGAAAGGGAGTGAGAAGATTCACCAGAGACAAAGTGGGGTGCAGAACAGGAAGACTGAAATACAGTGCTGAGAGGAGAGCAGTGGGTGAGACAGGAGAGGTCTGCTGTGCCATGTCGGTCAAATTTATTTAATAAAAAAATAGAATCTGGGCCCTCCCTAGTGGCACAGTGTGTTAAAGCACAGCACTGAGAAGCTAAGGCCACATCAGCATGAATTCAATCTCCACCCCAGAAGTGATCCATATGGTGTGGCAGACCTCTCGTGACCCGCCCACTGCTCCCTCAGCAGTGTACTTCATCAGTTGGCCTGTTCTGCTCCCCACTCTGTCTCTGGTAAATACTCTCTCCGCCCCTGCACCCCTGCCTGTACCCCAGTTATGTATGCATACATAAATCAATCCTTAAAAAAATACCCAAGAGTTCATGAGTTTACACTGGTATAAATGATAAAATAAACAGAAGAAAAGTTATCCCCTAGCAGTAAAAAACAACTAACAAATGTTGGAATGATGAACTTTAGAAAGTCACCATTTGCCATCAGTAACTGATTAAGACAAGCACCATTAAAATGAATGGTCTCAAGGTATATGACAAGGTATTTTTCAATTACAAAGTTACTTTACAGTGGAGAACCTGACACACAGCTCTGACCCAAATGATCAAAATTCTCTTGTCAAAAACAACTAAATTACTGCTGGTATAAAGCACTGAAAAGAAAGTACTACCTCTTCTGTTGTGTTGGGGCCAAATGTTCATAAAATAAACTTAACAGGAGAGAATCAGACAAACCCAATGGGAGGGACAGACTACAAATAACTGGCTTAATATTGTTAAAAATATCCTTGGCTAAAATAAAGACCCAGAAACTGTTCCAAGTTAAAGGAGATGAAAGAGGAATGTTAGCTGAATACAACAGTGATCCTGGATTTCTTTTGTTATGAAGGATGCCATTGGGATAACTGAAGAAAATCTCAATGGGCTGCAGAGTAGATAATAGTATCATTGCAGTACTGAGAGAAAGAGAAAGAAAATGCAGCAAAATCTTAACACACCTGGGGAATTTGGAGAAAAGGTTTTCAAGAATTTTTGATGCTGTATCCTTGCAACCTTTCTGTAAATCTGAAACTATGTCCAAACCACTCCCCAACTATTCATTATTAAAAGGGAATGATATACAGATGTTTACTGCAGTATTTTAAAATTGTTTGCAAAATGAGCAAAAAATAACATTTACATTCTTAGAATATCATGTATCATCAATTCTAATGTGATTTAAAAAATAAACAAAGCATCAACTCAGATTCCTAAACCCAACTTGTGATGGGTGAGGTCCTTAAGGCACATAAAGGAACTACTCTAAACAGCTTACAGCAAAAAATATCAGTGAAATCCTCGATCACAACTGCTAATACTCCCTGAAATAATTTACACATATACAGGAAATCTTCTCCAATCGTCATTGTATACAAATGGCCGTATAGTAGATGCTTTTATTCCTTGTTTTTTTCATCTAAAAAATAATCTGATTGGGCCCTCCATGGTGGCACAACACGTTGGACTGCAACACTATGAAGCTGTCTGCAGCCACTGCAGCATGGGTTCGATCTCTGGCCAGGAGGTGACCCACATGGTGCAGCAGAACTCTCCTGTCTGCCTGCTGCTCCCCTCAGCAGTGAATTTGTTTATCTGACTGTTCTGCTCTCCACTCTGTCTCTGGTGATTCTTCTCTCCCTTACCCCTGGACTCTACCCCAGTTCTAAGTAACTCTTTAAAAAAATCCAAAAAACCTGGATTTTGCTAACTTTAGCTGCTAGAACCCACATAGCTTAATTCACATGTACACAGGCATCCACATTCAAACATACTTCATAATATGAAATGACGTCTGATGGCTGAAAGCAGTCTTCCCTGTCCTCTTGCCCCAAACTATAAAAGTAGGAAAAAAGGCTTTCCTTGGTAAATTTTTATTTTAACATGTATTTCCACAATGTATTTTTTATTGTTATAAAATAAACATAAATTTTACCATTTTAACTATTTTAAATTCTACAGTCAGGGACATTAAGTACATTCACTACCATCACTATCTATCTCCAGAACTTTCTGATCTCAAACTTATTCTTTGCACCCACTAAACAAGTACTTCACTGTTTAATTGTAAGTGACAGCTTATAAACTCATGCAGAAATACTGAGTATCTAGCATCCTAAATGAGCTCAACCACAAGTACTGATTCTGAGCACACAATAACAGGGAATGAAGAGAATTAGCTATTATGCCACATGGCTTAACTAGGAAGGCAGCCAAAAGCAACACCGTAAGTTATTAATTATAGCTCATGAAATTATAATCAAGTTCCTAAATACATAGTTATATTAAATTAATGGTTTTCTTGACCTATATTTACCAATACAATTTTTTAGACCAAACCAACTTTGAGATTTATTTTGGGTCATCGTTTCTTGAGACCTATGTAATCAAAATTGCATTTTTGAGGCCCTCCCTGGTGGCACAGCAGGTTAAAGCACAGTACTAAGACGCTAAAGCCACTTCAGCATGAGTTTGATGCATGAGTTTGATCCCCGCCCCGCAGGTGATCCACATGGCATGGCAGACCTCTCAGCAGTGCTCCCCTCAGCAGTGTATTTCTGTACATCTGCCTGTTCTGCTCCCCACTCTGTCTCTGGTGAATCCTCTCACCACTCCTGCACTTCTGGCCTGTAGCCTTGTTCTGTATGCATGAATAAATAAATCTTTAAAAAAATTGCTTTTTTGTAGCTAAGACTGAATAGCCACTCTAAAGTAATTACCTGGAAAAAAATTAGTATTTTCTATTATACATTTCACTGTCAATGGTCACCAAAATCACTTATCAGAATGTACACATTTTACGTACATCAGGCCTAAAAAAACCATAAATGATATTTTAAGAGGCAAAACCATGAAAAACATATGGGGGGCATCTCTTCATCCCCTTCGTTTGTCACCCTATATGAACATAAACCCTTTCTTGCTTCTAACCCCCAGTCTTGGAGCTTACCATCTCGGTGCAGATGCTTACACTCCCCAACAGCATCCCAGCAGAGCCTTCTGCTGTCACAAAGAAGTCCCCCTTCCACAATGGAGCCCCAGAGACATCTGAATTTGGGGACAGCCTCTTTTCAGATTTCCTTGTATTCTTAGGCACCACTGGCCTAC